AGAGAGAGAGAGAGAGAGAGAGAGAGAGAGAGAATTAATTTTCTCCTAACCAATGAACAGAGCCAGCTAAAAAGATGCGAGATGCTCTCAGTTGGGACTCAAAACACATGATGTTTTTTGGAGGTTCTCTCCTCCCTTTCCTCTTTCCAGAGTCTCCTATTCCCTTGCTTTAGAAGCAGTTTGGACTGGTGGGTCATAAGGATCATAGATTTAGAGCTGGAGAGGGCCTGGGTTTGATCCTTTCACTCTACAGGTGAGGTAGTGAGCAGCAGAGCCAGGGCTCATATGGTGGCCCTTCCGCTGCCTCCTTTGTTAGAAGTGTATGGTTACTGAGTATGCCTGGGTGTAAAGCCCACAGCGCGCATTTGTAATAGCAATTTAAGGTTTGTAAAGTGCTTTCTTCACAACTGTTCCATAAGGCAGGGAATATGAGCATTATTCTTACTTTACAGATTTCTAGAAGGGAAAGCTATGGCTCTCCTCTTTACTCTGCTTCCATTTTGTGTCTAACTCCATTCTGAATCTCAGGGCACTCCCCACCTCCTACCCCCAATCCTGACTCCCTCAGAGTTTTCTTGGCCCAAACCCTGGGTACTTGATATTTATCTGGGGACTTTCTTCTAGGGTGCTGCTTCCTCATACCTCCTTATTGTGGCTTCCCAAGGGAGGAATGAGCTTTCCTCCTCCCAAAAACTCCATCTCTAATAGTAGCCCAAGCCAGCACCTTCCTCTTTCCCTTCTCCTCTGCCTTCTGTTGCTTGGATTTCCTCAAGCCAAGCTCTCCTGTGGGGCATCCCTTCTTAATTCTGACTATAATCCTCAGGTCATTGTACCTGGTCTCTTTCATCCTTCTAACCCCACAAAAGTACTGTTGCCCTTTTCGGGAGGTAGATAAAGGGTACAGAATCCCCACCCTCACCCCCGCCTGCAAACTAGCGCTTTTAGACAGTGACCCTCAAAAATCTCTATTTCTGTGGTTAGTCAATCAGAGAGTTAGATAGGTGTGACGTCAGCTGTAGCCAGGCAGAGGGAGGTTTTGAAGAGGCCAAAAGAGTTGGTGTGCTTGCGAAGCTCAGAAGGTTGAGTTTCTACCAAGTGACCAGATAGGCAGCTGAAGTCACGATCTGTGCAAGTCCCCCATGATTTTGAGCCTGCATGCAGAAAGGAAGATCGCTAGAATACCACGGTTACCAGGGTGACTCCTTAAGTGCATTCCAGGCTCAATATGTGACCAGCTTTCCTCTTATCTGTGTCCAGCCTCAAACCATCTTCATCTATCTTTAATCTACCAACTGCTAAAGCCTTTTTTTTAAAAAATAGGATAAGAGATAAATAAGGGGTGTATACATTTGTTCATGTCCTATGAATATGAAAATTGGAAAAAATAGATTTTTAGAGGTTTGGTTTTTTTTTAACCATACAAATGTTTGCTTAAAGAAGGGAATAGGTTACATAACATTTAGAAAAAAAAAAACCCAACCACATTTTACTATACTAAAAAAAAAATGTTGGAACTAGAGCTGTGAGGGTCCTTGGACACCACAATTTCATTTTTCAGACGGGAAACTGAGACCCAGGGAGGAGAAAGGACTAGATTACTTAAATCGGCTAACTCCCTAGCCTGGGCTCAGAACTAATTATAGTGTGAACACTCAGATTCATAAGACCTAATTTAATTTATATCATCTGCATATTAATTATAACATGACCTATCAGTGTTACAAATTAATGTCCAGAGAAGACGTTGCACGTTATTTTTTGAAAAGATTTTTTTAAAAAACATTTTTAACTTAATTGCAGGTTCGCTCTGTTTATTCCGAGATCATCTGTGAAATCAGGAGCCTTTCAGAAATGGTTCTACCTAGCAATTTATGACGTCACTAACCAATCTAATGTTCATTGGTTATTGGGTTCTGTAGTCTGGGTTTCCTTTTCTGGGAGGTGGGGGTGGGGATGTGATGTGGGTGGGGAGGATTTGGAAGACTGCTAGGGACCAAGAATGGGGGGGGGGGTAGAAAAAGGAAGGTAGCTAGATTAGAAATCAAGCTAGAAAAATCTTCCCTGCCTCCCCAGAGATTGTGTTCTGAACCTAAGAAGGTGGATAGAAGGTCAAGTGAGGTAGTTAGGTGACGTTGCATACCTTTACCAACACATATTTTGGAAAAAAAATTAAGTCAAAAAAAAGTTTTACCAAGCGTTAGGAAGAATGGTTTACATTCTGCTCAGGTCCTAGTGAGGAGAATAGCCTGACCAGCATGGAAAACCTTGTACAGGATTTTGGGGAGATACAAGCAGAAGCCAGAATTTAGGGGGCCTTGTATGGTGGGACAGTGTTTAGATTTGGATCACAAGACCATAGCTGGGAGGTAATTTACAGGTCACCTATAACATCCTCATTTTCAGATAAGGAAACTGAGGCTAGAGAGGTTAAATCACTTGGCCAGAATGCCCTAGGGAAGTCAGTGGTGGAGCCAGGATTCAAATCCAAGCTGTCTGCTGCCAAACTGTGTGCTTCCCACCACCAAACCACATCACCTCATCTTGTTTGAAATAAACTAATCAATATTTCAACTAGGATTGGGATGGAGAATGGTGACAATCTTGTTGATGGAAATTACCTAGGCAAAGAAATGACACTTTCCCCCAATTTAAAAGTCCCCATGGGAGCCTATTCATTCTCTCAGCCTCACCCAAATTCAATGAAAGAATGATTGATTTTTCTCTAGTTTGGTTCCTTCCCTTCCCCCATTACAAGGCATGTTTCTCCCCTTCAAATCCCCTTTGAAATGAACACTTGGAGGCTCTTCAAACTCCTTGGGTCTGGACAAGCACACGGAAATTAGGTAGACAAATCAGAACAAGATTTAACTCATGATGTCATAGATTACTAGGTAAAAAGATTTTCTGAGAAGTTCCCAACCAGGGATGTAGCCAGAATAAACTGTGTACTGGGTCCTCCAGGGGGAGACCTGGTCAAGCTGAGGACCTAGGGCGGGGCTGGGCTGATCAGAAGCCTAAGGCATAATCTCCACATTCCAAAGCTTGCATTGAGGTCACAAAGGCTCACAAGATTTGGAGCTGGGACCGTACAGATCTTAGGGTCATGGATTTAGAAACAGAAGGGGCCTCCGAGGTTACCCACTCCAACCTCATTTTGCAGATGGGGAGGCTGAGAGAGAATTAACTGACGATGGTCAAAGGGGATTAAGTGGCAGAGTGAAGATTTGAACCCCCATCTTCTGATTCTAAATCCTTTACTATACCAAAGCAAACCACATTTTTTTTTTTGCTAGCAAAAGTGAGGGCGAAGGTATGTTTGCATGGAGAAACATTCATATCACCCTCCTAGGGGTTGGTGGAGTATAGTAAGGACACTATACCCATCCAAGATGATCCTCACAAATATTCGTAGTGGAGTGGGTGAACTCCTAAGCACCACAGTCTGGGGGAGGGGGGCAAAGTTAGTGTAGTTCTTATTCCTAAAAACACAGAAGAGTTAGGAGGGTGGGTCATGCACATACATACACACAAACGTGCATTCACATATACTCATATACATAGGTAGTCCTAGGCCCCTCTGAATGGATTCTAGATGTTTAAGTGAAGTACATGCTAGCCAGACAACAATTGACCATTACTAATAGGCTTGGCTGATGGAGAAGAGAAGAAATTCTGCATCTGGTCTCCTTCTTTTTTTTCAACCCCTGAGAGGTTTTGCCCTTTTTTCCCCCATAAGGTGGACAAAGGGGCAGTATCCTCCACTCCCAAACTAGACAGTGACCCCAAAATAATCTGAGTGCTTCTGGCTAGTCAATCAGAGAATCAGATAGGTAGGACGTCAGCTGTAACCTGGCAGATGGGAGTTTTGAAGAAGCCAAAAGAGTTGGTGTGCTTGGGAAGCTCAGAAGGTTAAGCAGAAGTAACCAGATAGGCAGCTGAAGTCACGATTTGTGGAAGTGGGCAACAGCATGATTAATAATAATTCATAAGATGATTTTGAGCCACCTCCAAAAACAAAACTCTCCATAATACACCCAAAGAGGCCACCCAACCTGTGCCTAAAGGCCTGTAAGGAGGGGTGATATCCCTACACTAGTTGAAGGTTGACCTGAATGACCTGGGAGGTCCTTAAGAGCAAGCGCTGGTTTTTGCCTCTCTTCACATCTTCTATGCCTCTTGAGTAATAAACACTAAATAAATCCTTGTTGACTCTGAAATCCCTCCTAATTCTGATGTTTTAGAATTCTGTGCTGCAGACAGAGCAAGGTTGTCTATCTCTGTTCCCATCATTTGCCAAGTCCTTGCTCCAGTACTTAGGTTCCGGGCTGAATTTCCTACAATAAAGTTTGCTTTGCTTTATATTTGAGGTGTTTCCAGCTCCTGGGGGAGGGGGGCAGTTCCTTGTCCCTCCGGGGAAGGGTGGGCTGTGTGTGGAGCCGTCTTTGGCAGTGTTCACAGTTTCAGTTCTTATGGCCTTCCTTAAGGCCTTCTTAAGGCCTTATGGCCTTCAGTCTTAGGTTGCCTATGATTGCTCCTGTGAGGAGAAAAGAAAACACCTGAGACTGGTCTCCTCTTGCTGCTTATCTCCAAGCCTGCCCCCAAATCTGGTCACAGAATGTCAGAGCTGCAAGGCACTTTAGACAGTATCAGGTCCAAGGGAAACCTGGGATCTGGAAACTCATTTTAAAAACATAGATGGGTAGATAGATATGATTTAGATGGATAACTGTATTTCAATATAATTTGTTTCCTCTGCAACCCTATTTATTTATATTTTATGATTTGAAAAATATTATTCTGAGAAGGTTTTACCAGACTGCCAAAGCGGACCATGACACAAAAAAGGTTAGGGACCTAGATCTAGTTCCACCTTCTGCAGGAAGCCTTCCCCAACCATTCTTAATTCCAGTGCCTTACCTCTGCTAATTATTTTCTAATTATCCTGCATATATTTACTTTCCACATAGTTATTTACATCTTGTCTCCCTCATTAGATTGTAAGCTCCTTGAAGGCAGGAACTATTATTTGCCTCTTTTTATATGCCCAGCACTTAACACAGTGCCCAGTACATAGTAGGTGCTTAATGTTTATTGATTGATTGCTAGCCCATTTCCCAGGACTATATATTTACGACAAGGTTCCCCATCTCCCTCCTGTGAGGATTTCAGTTCCTCACGGAGCTGTCTCCTCCTCCCCATACTTCTCCTTTCCAAGTATCACAGGTTCTTCTTTAGCCCTCCCTTCTCCATTTCCTTCCCTTTTCTCATTAACTTGGATACCTCTACCTTTTCCTTTGAAGAGGTTGGAATTTCCCCTTTCATTTCTGGACTCTGCCTTGCCCCCTCCTCTCTTCTCACTCTGCAGCAAAGGATTGAGCCTTTTTTTACCTGGCCAAACGACTGAGATGAAAATGGTCCACAGAGGGAAAAGACTCCCATCCATATTCTAGGATCCCAGGACCTTAAGATCAGATAATCACAACATGTCTGGATGAGAAGGGACCTTTGAGGTCACCTTGTCACACTACAGAGGATGAAACTGAAGCCTAGAAGTGACAGGGCTTACATCCAGGTGTCTGGATTCCCGAATCCTCCCTCCCACCTCGCTAAGCATCCTCTCTGCCCTAGCAGGTCCTGTGGCCAGGGAGCCTTTTACACTGGCTTCTCTGTGCTGATGGCCTTGCTCATTGCTGGCCAAGGTGTGACCATCTACTTCGTGTACCAGCAGCAGGGGAGGTTGGACAAGCTTACTGTCACTTCCCAAAATCTACAGCTGGAGTCCCTGAAGATGAAACTCCCTAAGCGTGAGTCTGCTTTTCTTCCTTTCCTCTCCTCTGCACCCCTACAGTAAATGGCTTAGGGCAGGGGTGGGGAACCTTCAGCCTCAAAGCCACTTGTGGCCCTCTAGGTCCTCAAGTGCAGCCCTTTGATGAAATCCAAACTTCACAGAACAAATCCCCACCCCTGGCTTAGGGAAATGAGTGCAAAGTCACGAACGGGGAAAAGTGCCCTCATACGAAGTTGGGGCCTGAGTATGTTCTGGGACTGCCAAACGCCATGTCTCTTGACCTGACCTTGGACTCAGGTCTCCCTTCCTCTTGCAGCCTCCCTTCCAATGAACAAACTCCGAATGGCTACACCCCTGCTCATGAGGGAGCTAGAGCCCGAGAGCCTCCCATCTACGGTAAGGCCCTCACGCTGCTCCCACTATCTCCCACCCTCATCGCCTCCCCTTGGAGGAAAGATTTGATCAGATGAATTGATGGTAAAAAGGCTGGGTTAAGGATGACTTGGGGGCTGGGATGGGGGAAGGGTTAGGGAGGCTACAAATACTATCTGGTTATTGTGGGAATGCCTGAGTGGGGGTGGGAGGAGGGTCCAAGGAGACCTAGCACCTAAGGGAGAGGACCGTCTCAAAGGACATTTAACAGACTCCATTGCCTTTAGTAGTGAGGAGGGGGTGGCTACTGTTTCTCCTTCCAACTTTTGGCAGACCCCCCAGGCGTTGGAGCAGTCTCCAGGCAGTTTCTCAGCTCCTCCTTATTCCTAGACTCATGACTTTCCCTTTTCTATTACAGGACTTGACCAAGATTGGAAATAATACCAAGGACCAAGTGAAGTACCTGTTACTGGTAGGAGATCCCATTATCAGCCCATCTTTTACTCCCACCTATGAAGGCATAGCACCCAGGCTGGGGGCCTACCTCTAGCTTTACCCCAGTGTGGATCAGGTCCTCCTACGCTGGAGGAAAGAAGTCAAGTGAATAAGAATTTATTAAGTGCCTGCTATATGTCAGGCACTGTGCTAAGTGCTAGGGATACAAAGAAAAGCAAAAACATTCCTGCCCTCAAGAAATTTACAGTCTAATGGGGAATGCAAACAACTATATACAAATAAGACATATACAGTATAAATTGGGAGATAATCACAACAGGAAGATATTAGCATTAAGGGGGACTTTGAAAACCTTCTTGTAGGTGGGATTTTAGCTGTCTTGAAGGAAGCTGGGAAAGCCAAGAGGTGAAGGTCCAGAGGAAGAGAGTTCCAAGCTAATGAAAATTCATGATATCAGGAGATGAGAGTATCATGCTTAAGGAATAGCAAGAAGGCCGGGATACTTGTGGGAGAGTAAAGTCCAAAAAAACCTGAAAAGGTAGGAAGGGGTCAGGTGTAAAGAGCTTTACAAGCTACAGGATTTTGTATTTGATCCTGGAAGTAAGAGGGAGCCATGGGTGTTTATTGAGTAGGGGAGTGACTTGGTCAGATCTTCACTGTTGGGAGATTACTTTGGCAGTTGAGTGGAGGATGAACTGGAGTGGAGAAAGACTTGAGGCAGGGAGACTAACCAGAAGGCTTTTTCAATGGTCTAGGCATGAAACTATGAAAAGAGGAGGGACGCTGTCCCCTCTGACCTTTTATTAACCTTCCCTCTGATTTCCTGGCTTTTTGTAGCAATCTGACCCCAGAAGGTCTTTCCCTGAGCTGACCAAGAGCTTTCAGGAGAACATGAAACAACTCAAGAAAAACATGGAAAGCAAGAACTGGAAGGTCAGGGATCCTTTATCCTGCCACTTCGGGGCCACAGCCACGGGTGGGGGGGTGGGGGGGGGCGGGGGGGGGGCGAGGTTACCTGGGGAAAAATTTGACTTTAAATAGGGCTAAATCAGACCACAGAGAATTTCTTTCAATCTCTCAGAAAGAAATGATTTCCCTGTCCTCTGATCAAATCCCTGCCCCATCTCCCACCCCCAATTCCAGTCTCTCCACCTTCCTATTCACTATCCCCTTGAGGGAGGACTGCATGATATAAAGGGGCTTTTGAATCTCTGAGTGGAGTTGAAAGGTGGTTTTCTCTCTCTCTCCATATCCCAGAATTTTGAGAACTGGATGCACCAGTGGCTTCTGTTTGAGATGAGCAAGAAGCCCGACGAACACAAGGTTGAAGAAAAGATTGAGCCTTCTCAGAAAGGTATTAGAGGAAGGAGGTTGAGGGAATTCTAGCAAGAAACCTCTAGGAGCTTCTCCTCACGCCCTCAGTTAGAACTGCACATTCCCTTCCCCACCCCCCAATTCCCAATACACACATTTAGCAAGTGAATTCTTCCCAGTCTATGGGCTCAGGTATTAAGATAGTGGGCGAACTGAGAGGTGAAGGGGGTTTCCCTTACAGTATAGTGGGGGATGGGTGTCCACCAACCTGTTAATTGTTCAGTTGACTGAGCTTTTCCCACAATTCCATGCTTTACAATTCTAACAATCTTCAGTCTTCCTGGCTCACGTGTCTGCGACACTTGGCAATTTAGAGACCACTTTGCTCACCATTCCATGAGGTAGTAGGGGGTCAAAGCATTGCTGTCACTCCAATTCAGGCTATAGAATTTTGGAGTTGGAAGGGGTCTCAGAAGTCTGATCCATATCTGAAGAGGAATTTCTTTTACAACAACCTTGACAAATGGTCATCTGGTCTTCTCTTAAAAGGTCTCTAGTGAAGAGGAACTCGCTACCTTTAGTCCTAGAGTAATTTCCCATCCTTTTTACACCCAAAAGAATGGAGGCCTTCTGATTCCAAGTCTAGGGCTCTATTACACGGCTAGTGTTAGGTCTGTTTAATTGAACTTAGTCTTTGTTTATTAAATGCCTACTATGTTCAAGGTCCTATGCTGTAATCTGGAGATATGAAGAAAAGCAAGACAGTCTATTGCCTTCTATGGCCTTTTGCTTTCTGGGTCTCAGGTTCTGTTCTTATTCACCATCATGACTTTGGGAAGTAAGAGGTCTATAAAATGAAGAAATTGAACTATCACAGGAATAAGAGAGTTGGAGGGGACCTTGGAAGCCCTGTACAGTATAAGAAGCCCCTCTACAAATTTCCCCCCAAATGATCATCTGTTCTTTTCTTGAAGATCTCTAGTAAGGGGGAGCACACTATCATCATTTCACTTTTGGAAAGATAATTGGTAGTTTTTCTAACACTTGTCTCTTGGCAACTTCAATCTTTACTCTTATGTCCTTTGGAGGTAAGCAGAGTCTAATTCTTCTTTCATATCACAACTCTCCATCAAGGATATCACCATTATGGACATAGTTGAGTCTCAAAATATTACCCAGAGATGAGAAAGTAGGTTCATGGGTCTTTAGTCACTTGAGTATATGTCTCCCTATTTTATGCTTCACTTGATGCTTATAGTCATTGAAAGATCTTAAAACACAGGTACCTTTTTTGGACATGAGCCTTTAAGGGTGCTTTATGCTCTAGTGAATAAACTAGCATAGAAATGGTAGGCTCTTAGAGTCTCTGCTTTGCTCAGCTGGTTGTGTAGCTGAAGATATGGTCTGCTCTGGAGAATCACATGAATCTTCTCTATTCAGATTTGCATCAGGTATACCTTAGATATGTGTATGGACCATTTTGTAGAGATGATCAGACTGGATGTACTTTGGGGTCCCTTTCAGGTCTACAATCCTATTATTTTCAGAGAAGAGTTAGGGTTCAAAATTCCACCACTCAACCTACTCTTTCTGTAGTCACTGGGCTGCTGTTCTCAGCCTATTTCCTCATCCATGCAATAGATGCCAATTAGATCTCAGTATGGAAGGTTCTAGGCCAATCATAATCTGGGTTCTGCTTGGTGCATGCGTCAGCTGGCCCTAGTGAGAAGCTGAATCTCCAGTCTGTAGAACTTGAGGCAGGGGCCCTGTGTGGGCACCTGAGCCGGCTCACCATGTGTCTCCCAAACCTATTGCTTCAGTTCTGACCAAGTGCCAGCTTGAGGCCAGCAGTGTTCCTCCCGTCCACCCGGGCAAGTTCTGCCCCAAGTGCGACGAGAATGGCAACTATGAGCCTCTTCAGTGCCATGGCAGCACTGGCTTTTGTTGGTGTGTCTACCCCAATGGCACCGAGGTCCCCCACACCAAGAGCCGTGATCGCCATGACTGCCATGGTAAGCATATGGTATGGGGGTAGGAGGTCCCCTTAACCACCATTGCATGGTCAGTCTTGTCTTTCCAGAAGCCCTGATGCATAGTAATCTTTTAATTCAGACACACACTCACTCACTCTTGTTCACCTGTCCATCCAACCACAGCACTCATTACTGTGCCCAGTCCTGATGCACAGGTATGGAACCATCACAGGTTTAATCATCTTTTTTTTCCCCTGGGCTCCCCTGACCTCCTTTAGGGTAGGGTGAAGGTCCAGTTCTATGCTGGGTCAGTAGGGAACAAATTGCTTGCTCCACTTTCAGGTCCCTTGGATACTGAAGAGCTGATTTCTTCTGGACTGGGTCTTCCTAAGCAGGTAGGTTAGGGGACCAAGGCAGTTGTCCTCAGACTCCTGCAAAGTTGTCTCTAACCCCAACCAACCAAACTGATTAAGATGGGAAGAAAGTGGAGGATACTCAATTGGGGGGGGGGGGCGGGAAGAGAAGATGGGACTTTCCTGGATAGGACAGATGCTGGGTTCCTGAATTGTGAGGCCTTAACCTTTCACCTCTCTTTCTCTCCCTCAGCAATGATCTAAGAGAAATAAGAACTGCAAGGGCTAATCAAATAGTCCCAGACCTGCAAAATGTGTGGCCGCCGCTAGAATGCTGATTTGTTTAGCCAACTCCAGGATCCATCCATCTGTCCATTTCTTCCTTGTCTTTTTCCCGTGA